TTATTGTGGGGGAAAAAATACTTCTCAGCCTTTATTTACCAATGAACAAAATGGCATGTGTAAATTTACGCATACCTTTTCCAAACTGTCACAGTCTGTGGGAAAATCCAAAGTTCTATGTCATTCCAAATAGTCCAAGCTGTTCTAAGACATCATAATTATCCTCATTTTGAGTCTGCTAAATGTGCAAATGTCCCCCCTCCCGTCTCCCGTCTCCCCCGACGGCCCGCACTCACACCACAATCAGGCCTGGGCATGCTTACGTCATCGATGCTGCGCTGTTTAGTGAGAAGCGCTCTCACTCAGCAGCACAGTGGAGATTTCTCTAGTTATATCGTTTCAGTCATTTGATATGCAGTGACATGCAGTCAAATATTTTACCAAGCAGTTCTTGGGGATGCGGTGACACGCAGTCAGATATTTCGTCGAACAGATCCGCCACTTTTGGCACTAATAAACAATCATAAAGCCCTCGTGCTGCAGGAATGAGGAGGTCTGCTGAAGGTGCGCAGCTGTCATGCAGTGAGGGGTTTGCATCTTTAATAAACTACAGCAGTTTGCGTTCACTGAACAGTAAGAATGATTAATAAATCCATATGAAACAGCCCCTTAAAGTTACGTCTCGCTTTCAGTTTCGGGCTTTGGCGCGTTTTGCACTCACACTCACAAAGCCCAAGTGAACCGCGCTCAGGCACACCTCTTCCAACCGGACCAGGGCCGGCCAAGTGAACTGTGCCAGAGCCCGATTCAGCGCACTCACACTTCTCAAAAGATCCGGGAAACGGGCCTGGGCACGGTTCGGATAGCATAGTGTGAGTAGGCCCTAAGGGCTGCAAAGCAAACCTCATCCATATACAAAACAATCATAAAACAAATAGAGAAAAAAAAAAAAAACTAACAATAATGAATGTGATGATTTTTAGTCTGAGAAGGAAGCCAGAAAAATGTGCAATTTAAAAAAAGATGCATAAATCAATAATGACTTCTATGGGGAACCCAAATCAACTGAACAGCCATTCTACAGCAAACATACCCAAGGTGTGCTCTCTAGGGCTGCAACTAACTATTATTTTAATAATCGATTAATCTGTCGAATACTTTTTTTTTTATCAATGAATCGGATTTTTTTTATAAAGAAACGCATTAATTTTCAACCGTTTATTCAAAAAAGCTCATCCATGAGCTGTTATAAAAACTAATAATAATAATAATAATAATAATAATAATAATAACAAAATAAAAAAACTAAGTAGTTTTGTCCTGTTTTCAGTCCAAATATCTAAATATTTTTAAATCAAAATACATACTAGACCTGAAATAGCATAAGAAATAATGTATTGTTTACAAATAAAAAAACACCTAAACATTAAGTGATTGTTTGCGTAAAACAAATTAAATTATTTGTGAATTGGGTAATGTGAGAACGTTTCCTTCATTCCTAAAAAGCAGAAAATGCAGGACTCAGCTTTTTTTTTTTTAAAAAAAGAAGCACTTTTCCCACGATCCCTTACTGAGAGCTCTGCTCAGCAAGCTCTCTCTGGCTCAGCGCCAGACACTGAGCCAAAGCTCAATTTGATTTTCTCAGTTGCTGCTCTAAAGGTAAATGAGCTACCGCTAACTTGTCATGCATGTCAAGCTGGATAACAAGTAAAACATCAGCACCAAGCATCCAGCATTGTTGAACTCCCTTCCTCCTCATCCCTGTCTAAGAGGCGCTGAACTCTGTATCAGTGCACGAGAGAGACCGTGTTCACTCCACTCCGCGCTTTACTAAAGTGTTTTTAATAATCAAACGTCCCCCATGACGTGTGACACAACAAATCGATTATGAAATTCGTTGTCAAAGCTATTAGTAATCGATTTTATCAATTTAGTCACTTCGTTGTTGCAGCCCTAGTGCTCTCTCCTTAGAATGTGCCGCAATGTCTTCAAGGAGTACCAAGTGTGCCATGTTTCCAAACACAAGGTGAGACACAATAATATGAGGTTTACATTGGGGTAGATCAGGTGATTGTTGTTTAATTGTATTATATTTAGTCCTCTAATTATACTGTATAAATATTCAATGTAGTTACTTTTCACCCACCCTGTAAATAAATACCATATCTAATTATATGCAGGGTTCTTTATACATGCTTATAAGGTCACAGGCGTACATGATTATTGCATACATGTGGTGTAAGGTGTTTTTTTAATGTTTTTTTTGTACATATAATAGTATGCCTTAAGACTGAGTAAACCACAAAGTAAATTTCATTTTTGGGTGAACAAACCCTTATTACTCTCCTCACTTTAGTAACATTTAAGAATGTTTATGTCAGTAATGTTTTTTTATTTTTATTTATGACTTAGAATTTGTCATTAAAAATTTTCTTTAATACGTTCTAGTACAATTTGTGCTCGCCTTAGCCTGATACAATTTACAGTATTTCATAGAATGTAAAAAGGCAAAATCAGATTTTTTTTCCCAATATTGATGACAGATGTGACAGATGTCATGCACACTAGCTCTCTGCAACTCTCACATGGTCGCCCACTGAAGCTAAGCAGGGCTGCGCCCGGTCAGTACCTGGATGGGAGACCACTTGGGAAAGCTAGGTTGCTGCCGGAAGTGGTGTTAGTGAGGCCAGCAGGGGGCGCCCAACCTGCGGTCTGTGTGGGTCCTAATGCCCCAGTATAGTGACGGGGACTCTATACTGCTCAGTGAGCGCCGTCTTTCGGATGAGACGTTAAACCGAGGTCCCGACTCTCTGTGGTCGTTAAAAATCCCAGGATGTCCTTCGAAAAAGAGTAGGGGTTTAACCCCGGCATCCTGGCCAAATCTGCCCACTGGCCTCTGTCCATCATGGCCTCCTAACCCTCCCCATATCATGATTGGCACATCATCACTCTGTCTCCTCTCCACCAATCAGCTGGTGTGTGGTGTGTGGTCTGGCGCAAAATGGCTGCCGTCGCGTCATCCAGGTGGATGCTGCACACTGGTGGTGGATGAGGAGATTCCCCCCCATTGTGTAAAGCGCTTTGAGTGCCCAGAAAAGCGCTATATAAATGTGACGAATTATAATTATTATTATTACCACGGTGTAATTTAAGTCATATGTTCTTTATGTGCCCCCTTACAGAATTATTGACTTAATTATTTTACAATTATGTCTAAGATGTTGCAGGTAAATATAGACCATTTTTATAGACCAAATATAGCCATTTTGGCGTTCCAAAGATTTGGTCCCAGTTCAATTCTAAACAACTTTTTTTTTTTTTTTTTGGCCTTTGCCTCATTATTAGCTAGGGGTCGTATTCTACTTCATTGGAAATCAAATAAGCCTCCAAGTCCAATGGCTTGTAGATACCATACATTTTCTAAACTTGGAAAAGTAAGAGGCTCTTGGAAAACTAATTTCTTTAAAGTGTCGATGTTTCATAACTTACTTGAGCTTTCTTAAGGTCTTGCCGTCCATTTAATAGATGCACTCTCCTTCCTTTTTAATTTATTTATTTCATAGTAATTCCATTTTTGTTTGTTTTTAACTATTACTATTTTATACAGTTTAGTTGTAAATATTTCCTTTTAACATTGACAATGTACCTGTACACTTTTATTACTCTTGTTTCCATTTTTCTTTTCCCCTTATTGTTATTATCATTTTTTAAATAATTTTTTATATGTAATGATAATGATATGTAACTATTTGTACTGAAATAGTGTTTGTTTTTTCACAATAATTTTTTTTTTTTAAAGTAATTTTTTTACATTCTCTTTATTGTATTTTTTATATCAGTACTAATTATAGCTTGCATATGTATACTTTTTTTCCTTTTAAACAAAAAGTAGTAACATCATGTTAGTATTACACTTAAAACTAAAAAAAATACAGAAAAAAAGTGAGGGGAAGAGGCAAAAAACAGAAAAAAAAAAAATAACTAAATAAGGGGTGGGGTGATTTTGAGGTGCTTCTACTAGAGTTCAATCACTGCTCTTTTGTTAATGTTCTCAATAAATGGATTCTATATTGCATGGAAATTCTTACTTTCATTTTTAAGGGAAAGTCTTAGCTTCTCAAGTTGCAGGCAAGACATGACATTTTTTATTAATGTGGAGCAACGTGAAGGATCTTTTCGTTTCCAATTCAGTAAAATCAATCTATGTACCAAAAGGGTTATAAATCGAAATCGCTGTACATAGATTATTAAATTATTCTGCATCTTTACCAAACCAAATATAGCTAAAATAGGCCAAGCAAACTTTTAATTAATTTTTTTTTTTTTATCAATTGTCGTCATTTGAAAAAGAGAAGTATAAAAAGCAACAACAAACAGTATGAGCTGAGGAAAATCTGATAACAATTCTTTTACTACAAATCGCTAAATTTCTACATAAATTTCTCTGTATACGGTTTTATTTTTTTTAATTAAGAAAACAATGATTAGCTGTATGATATTCAATAAAACAATGAAAAATAATTTGGGCCAATAACTTTAAGTAAGTACTATTTACTATGCAATAACATATCTGTCATCTCTTGTTCATAATCTGTCATCATGTACTGTAGATGCTGAAAACACTAGAAATATGCATGCTTAAAAATATGTACAGTAGTAGACAAAACCACATAACTTATTCAAACTTTTTATCTTTGCACATGCATTTAGGTGTAGCTTAATATTGAAAATGATTCAAAGGTTATTTATTCGAATCACTAAGTCCTACAAAACACCAAAATAATATAAGCGAAAGAGACATTTGAAGTGAAAATTCTATATTAATTTCAATTTAATTGTTACTTCAGACAAAAGTAGCTTTCTTAAAAAGATGACTTGTTGACTTGTCAATTGCTCAAGCTCCTCCCATCATTTAACATACACTCAATCTCAATCAAATACCAGCCCTCAATCAATCCCAGATGTGCATAATATTCATCATCACATACAAATATCAGACCTGATTACTTTCTTATTGATTACTAAACACATGGCAATGGTCAACAAACGCTGTGACTCACCAGGGTCATTGTGAGAATGGGGCACAACGAAGACTTGGAGTGGCTCATTGTCCCATTCATTCTCCTGATAAGAGATATCAAAGCCTTGTTTCCACACCCCGCCATCAGGGTTATCAAAGCGGAGCAAATCATAAACATCCAGCATCTGAAATAAAGCACATCAGAACACCATTTTTAATTGATGCTGTCATAATTCCAACTTTTTATTTCATTTGAGATATGTGCATTAGCCTATTTTTGAAAAACATAAAATACATTGCTCCGTGTACATTTCATTGCACGTTTCAGATGACAAATCCACCAGAGGGATCTGTCAAAACTTCTCACAATCTGTAGTAGACAAGTCTTGACTTTTTCAGAAAAAAACAGTTTAACAGTCATAACAAACTAAAGATCTTAACAGAGCAACTCAGACATATACAAGAACAAAGTACAAGAAAAAACTGTAGAAAATACAAGGTGAAATAATAATAATAATAGATAAAGTTATTGCACTAGATAAAGATTAGTGTTATTGCATCCAAACTCTGGAACTTTCTACCACGCTCACTCCTCTCTGCTAATAATATCTCTGAATTCAAATCCTTACTTAAGACTCACTTTTTTTCTGAATGCTTCGCTTCTGATCTGCCAAACTGACCACTTAATCTGATCCACCACTACTCTGCTCATATGTCTCTTAGGTCTTGTTTGTGTAATTCCAGTTTGTTATATTTGACCTAATGTATGTTTGTTTATCTTTTTGTTGCATTCCTTGTAAAGTGTCCTTGAGCTCTGGAAAGGCGCTATATAAATAAAAATTAATATTATTATTATTATTATTATTATAAATATATGAATGATAAAATAAATAGATTTAGGAGTGGGTTGGAGGGAGCTTACAATTCAAGTATTTGGAATAAAATCTGTTCAAAATATGACAGGAATGGTCTCCAAACTTTAAAGAATCTATTATTTGAGCCTTGGGTGCGGCTTTAGATATGCTAAAACATTTTCTACCCATTAAGTATGTGTTGGGGGTTTAGTTGACTTTCACTGCAGGAGTATAAGCCTTCAGGCCAAGAAAGAAGAAAAAGACTAGTGCATTTAATTGACTTGCTGGTAGTCCAAGGTTTTCAGGTGTCACACCAAATATTGCTATTGCTGGATCTGGTTGTATCTCCTTTTCATTTTCACAATCTGAAGTGCATTATTTAGGGTACATTCATCATTTCAGTTACATGAACTTATATTAATTAAGGTAGATTAATTTGATGATTTAGAACCTCAAAGCCTCAATTAATCTAACACTTTGCTTCAATTTTGATTGTTAAAGAATTATTTTATTTTTGATGTAGCTATTTGTTTTCTTTTACCTTCTCATTGTTCATTATGTTTTCATTTGCTCTGTAAATATACTCAACTATTACACATGTCATTTTCTAATTATGAATACTTTTGATAAATACTTCAAGTTGAAATCAAAGCACAAATTGCTTGAAATCTGGGGGGGGGTTCATTTAAGTTTCATAAAAAAAATTTTTTAAAAGTTTAAAATAACTGATTTGTTTTTTTGCAAACAAAAAATTTGAATATTTCATAGTCATAAGTAGGAAATAACCAGCATCCCTTGCAAGCAAAAGTAAAGTTTTAATAAACATCAGAGAACTAAATATCTCTATATATTTAAATATATATATAAATATTTAATTATATAACTCGGTTATGCTACCAGTTCATTCTGATAATGTGACTACTTATAACTTGGGGAATAAGCTGAAGGAAAATAAGTGAACAATACATTATAACTCAGTATAAAAAAAATTAAACTGTTGCTACTAATAATATGTCAGGTTTCTGAAAATGACTTACATTGTTTGCGTTTGTTCAAACTGATAATAAATAATGATAAAAATATGATTTAGAATATGAAAGAATACGATTTTCCTGATGTATGAAAGACTTGCATTCTCTATTTTTTACATATTAACAATGTATTCACCGTGCTTGTCAGGGAAACTCTCAAGTACTCAGTTTGTCCACACACAGTAATATTTTTTTAAAGGGGATGTATCATGTATTTACAGAGTTTTAAAAAAACAAATAACCGACACCGAGAAATTCTCAGAGGTTATGAATTTCAGTTTTGGTTTCTTTTCAGTTAATCGACCAGACCTAATTTGATTACAAAACCATATACTTTAGTTTATATATATATATATATATCTTTACTGCATTTTAACTTTACACTCAGATAACAGAGGTATTAATTTAGTGTTGAGCAAAGAACTGAATAAAACAATGCTTTATTTGTTGATAATATTTCCCTGTAAATATCATTAGTCTGAAAAGGAACTAAATTTAAAGGCGTAGTACTGCCCCTTAGCATTTATTTTACCTAAACTCCAGTCAAACATTAGTTGAAGTTTTTGCAGTTTAACCAAAAAATATAGGCTGAAGAAAATTTTTCCAATAAGCCCTTGATGCATATTTCTGTTCAATTAATTAGTATTGTTATTGATTTATCACTTTTTATTCAAATGCAAGAGTCAGCTCACAATATAATACAACAATATCTATTAATTATTAAAACATTTTCACATTTTCGCGGTGATTTCAGGCCAGGGCAAAAGAAAGTGTTGATAAAAATATTAAATGAATGAGTCTAATGGCACATTTTTAGATTGGCTTCTCAGGATTTCATCTGTGATGAATATACAGGTATGTGCCAATAAATTAGAATAGCAAGGGAAAGTCCATTTATTTAAATTACTCGTTTCAAAAGTATAACTTGTTCGTTCTATTAGTTCACTACACACAAAGTGAAATGTTTCAAGCCTTTATTTGTTTCAATTTGAATGATTATGGATTAAAGATGAAAAAAACACATGGACCTCCTTTTTGCAATGATTACAGAGGACATCAGCTCAAGTTGTTTTGATATCGGCCTTCAGCTCGTCTGCATTTCGGTGTCTCCGTTCTCTATTCTTCCTCTTGACAATTGCCTATAGATTTTCAATGAGGTTTAAAGGGTCACGAAACACCAAAACACATTTTTTGAGCTGTTGACAGTCGTATATGTGTCCCACACTGCTAAAAACACTATTAGGACACCTATATTTCACTAAAAAGTGTAAATTGGTTGTTTTTGCGTTATTTCAAGCAAATTCGTACTTCCTGTTTGAAACGAATTTTTGAAGCTGCGTCACGGTCATGACATAATAGCGTGTATTCCAGCGTGTAGACTGGACGTCTGTGCCAGAGTGAGTCTTATTACATCTTAACGTGTGATGCATTAACGCATGAGTAAGGCTTGGTTCAAACCAATCATCGCGCTCTATTGTGCAACTTCATTAATATTCATTACTGTCAAAGTGTTTAGACGACACTCACACCACGTTGTATTGGCAAAACAAGCGTGAAGTGTTGCTTTTATAGTTTGCTGCAGTTAAGTTTCGTTTTCATTTTCTCTCTGTGAGAGCTCAGAGTCACGTGTGGATTAACAGTGTACGCGTCGCGCGACAACAATAACTTACGTGTCTAAGGAGGATTATTGTTTACCTTAGAGCTGTTCTCGTCTGCAAACGCTGAGATCTGGATTAGTTTGTAGTATTCTCTTCATAAAGACGCGGCTCTAGTTGCTGGTGATTGTTCTGTCTCTACAGATTTGGTAAGTGAGCAACCAGTGCTCTTTGTTTATTCAGTTTGTTCGTATCTAACAAACTATTACACAGAGTGTAAACACGTTAGCACCACAACCAAACTTTAACCTCGTGTAGGGTTTTTACCACATTCAGTGACCGGAATAACACGCACGGCTTTCTGACACTACCTGCCGTGTGCATCTAAGTTTCTGGGAAATGCGGAGGGTTTTTTTCTCTCATTCGCCGTGCGGTATCAAACATTGCATGAAAAATACACTCTTAGAGCAGCTCCTGAATGAAAGAGCCAAACTGCAGTTAATGTCCACCATTTAATAATTTGGCAAATAATTAGACTACAGATGTCCATGTAGGTTAAACACCATCACTTTCTCCTGTATGTGTGTGTGTGTGTATTTGTGTGTATTTTGACTCTGAAACTCGCGCGTGCCCAAATAGACACTCCCACACCATCCCACTTTTCTTCCTCCGACACTCCCCCCTAAACAGAGCTGGACACGCCCACTTTTCTGACTTTTTCCAAAGTAGAGGTGTGAAAACACCCTGCTGAAACGAGGGGGTTTCATGGCCCTTTAAGTCAGGTGAGTTTCCTGGCCAATTGAGAACAGGGATAAAGGGATACCATGGTCCTTAAACCAGGTATTGGTAGCTTTGGCACTGTGTGCACGTCTCAAGTCCTGCTGGAAAATAAAATCATCATCTCCAAAAAGCTTTTTCGACAGCTCTAGGAAGTGCTCTAAAACGTCCTGGTATAGAGCTGTCAGTGCCGTGCAAAGACTTTGATGTGCTGAAAAAAACAAAAAAGGCAAATGGACTGTGGACTTCATAAAAAGACAATGGACCCACACCAGCATATGGCATGGCTCTCCAAATTATAACTGGCTGTGGAAACTTCACACTGGACTTTAAGCAGCTTGACTCTTGTGTCTCTCTGTTCTTCCTCCTGTCTCTGGGATCTTGATTTCCAAATGAAAGACAAAATTTGCTTTCATCTGTAAAAGAAGGGAACACTGCGCAATAAACCAGTAGTTTTTCTCTTAAGCCCAGCACAAACGTTATTTTTGGTTCAGGAATGGCTTGACACGTGGACAGCTGTAGCCCATGTCATGCAGATGTCTGTATGTGATGGTTCTTGATGCTCTGACACCAGCCTCAGTCAACCTTGCTTGACAATCCTCTCAAGGCTGTGGTCATACTTGGGCACCTTTTCCAGCCACATTTTTTCCTTTCTCTTAACACTCTATTAATATACTTAGATACTGCACTCTGTGAGCATCCAATTTCTTTTGCAATTTTCTTAAGACTTTTAAAATCCTTTTATGAGTTATGGAGGGTTCCAATGATGGTCTTCTGTCTTTGTGTGAATTAGCAGACTAAGGCCCCGTTTACACTAGTGCGTTTTAGTTTTAAAACGGCGTTGTAGAATGAAAACGATCCGCGTCCACACTCGCGGGCAAGCGCTCCAGCATTTCTACCCAGATGAGAGCTCTGCTTGTCGGACTGCTCATCAAGCATCTCCCGCTGGATCTAATCTCACTATATTTGCTAAATGTGATATTTCATTCATGTTGTTGTCTTTATCTAACGACATAGGCCAATTCCCTGACTTTGGTCATTGGAATCTATTAAGTTACTTGTTCACGGGTAACATGTTTTGGTTAAGCGCAAAGATAAGTTAATGATTAATCCAGGTACATTGACTGATCGCTTGCCTTTATTTCCTACAATGTATAAACTTATTGTATGTTATACTTTTATAATTATCGATTATTAAAACTGATATTTAGCAAAAGAGAGGGTGCGTTTCGTATTTTCACTGAAATTGAAAGGAGGCAGTTGTTATCGGCTCCGTTTTGTTATAAATATCCACACAGTGAAGATGACGCTCATATATGCAGCACGGCGCCTCAACATTCCTGCTGTCTGTTAAGTTGCTAATATTAAAAAGAAAATAGGCATTTCCTTAAATCATGTTTACATTTTATTGTTGAGAAAGTGAAACAACGTAGCCAAGGTGATGTGAATGAAGTTGTAAAGTACACTGTTCCCTTTGAAGATTTACCCGTGTCCTCGGTATGTTTTCCATATCAAACTGAGAAGGGGGAGACTGCAGCCTTGATCAAACTTGCGAAGTCTTAACTTACAAGAAGAGGATGCGACACTGAACTGTGTGTGGGCTACTTAATATTGAGGAAAAGCCCCAATCAGATAGGCGAACGTTTGCAGCCCCGCCTCCGTTTTCAGATGTCTCCGTCTTTCCCCATCCACACTGAGACGGAGCAGCAGCGTTTTAGAATGAAAACGGCCTTTCCAGCGTTTTCCAAAAGCTCTGTTTTCGGCGCTCGAGAACTCCGGCGTAGTGTGGACGGATGGCGTAACCGTAGCAAAACTTATGCGTTTTCAAACTAAAACGCACTAGTGTAAACGGGGCTTAAATTGAGAAACAAGGAGCCTACAATGTTGAACTTAGTCATGATGTTCTGATTTTGTGAAATACTGGATTTGAGTTTTTCATCTTTAATCGATAGTCGCTAAAATTGAAATAAATGAAGGCTTGAAATATTTCACTTTGAGTGTAGTGAACTAATATAACACACGTTATGTAATGTAACTATTGAAAAACACCACACAACACAGGTGTTTGGGTTTTTCTCTGTGACAGAAAAAACAAAAAAAAATCCAGTTTGGCAATAAAAATCGCAGATGCAAACGCACATATGCAAATATATGCAAAATTTAGTCAGCTGTCAGTGACAAAAATTCAGAAGATGTTTCTCAACCTTCTCACAGCAGCCAGTGGGGTCTTTCTAGTGCTAATTTATCCGTATTTACTCTAATACTGCTCTGGAAAACAGACTTTTAGAAAGTTTTCACACCATTAAAGGGGGCTGTACACAATCGATTTTCTCTCTGTCTGCTTATACGACTTTCTTTTTGAATTAATGAGTCTCTTCTTGATTCACCTTTTAAAATAGTTAACCACCATGCTGTTAATACGGCCTTTTTGTGTACATTTTATAGTAAAATAATTTAAAAACATTTTGCTTTGGAGGAAGATTGTTTTAACAACTCTATCAACCGCTTTTTTAACCTGGTCTCATTCTTCATCTAAAATTATAGTATGTAAACTATGTGAAGATCTAATTTACTGAAATGTCTTAAAACACCATTATTTTAGTAACAATATGCAATTATGATTTTATTTTGAACCGATAATCCCTCTTTTATCTCATAACTGCTTCTTCAAATATGCACAACTAAAAAAGCATGACTGATAAATGCATTTTGTGCCCCAGAACACTCAAAATTAAACAATACGATTACATTATGAGTAATGATTTACCAACTGCATAAATGTTATTCATTTTAAGGGTTTAAAGTGTAATTGTTTTTATCATTAAGAAATCCTCGGATTGTTTGGAAAAAAATGTAATCATTTCATATTAAGCACATATATATATACACATATACATATATATATATATATATATATATATATATATATATATATATATACACATATACATATATATATATATATATATATATATATATATATATATATATATATATATATATATACACATATACATATATATATATATATATATACATATATATATATACATATACATATATATATATATACATATACATATATATATATATATACACATATACATATACATATATATATACATATACATATATATACATATATATATATATATACATATATACATATATATATATATATATATACATATATATACATATATATATATATACATATATATATACATATATATATATATACATACATATATATATATACATATATATATACATATATATATATATATATATATATATACATACATATATACATATATATATATATATATATATATACATACATATATATATACATACACATATATATACATACACATATATATATATATATATATATACACATACACATGTATATTCACAGTTAAAGTCTAAATTTAAAGCCCTCCTGTAAGTTTCATTTTAAATATTTCCCAAATTATGCTCAACAGAGCAAGGAATTTTTCACAGGATTTCCTGTAAAAAAATATTTTTATCTGAAGAAAGTCTTTTTGGTTTATTTTGGCTAGAATAATGCAGTTGATCTTTTTAAACCAATTTAAGGTCAATATTATAAGCCACCTTACGCAATATTTGTTTGATTGTCTACAGAACAAACTATCGTTATTGACTTGCCTAATTACCCTTACTTGCCTAGTTTACCTAATTACCTAGTCAAGCCTATCAATGTCCCTTGAAGCTGAATAATAGTGTCTTTAAAAATATCTGGTAAAATAGTGTGCACCGTTATTATGACAAAAACAAAAGAAATCAGTTATTAAAAAGCTAGGAGAGTTAATATTTAATAGTTAAACGTAGATTAAAAATTAAAAAGTATAAATTTTTTGTGATTGTATTAGGAAAGCAAGTACAAAGTTTTACCCACTGCCCTGACACAGCAAGAAGAAGAAATTCTCATTGTTGAGCTCTAAAAGTAAACAATTGGTTGACTTAATCTTAAAATGTCTTTTCCCTCTATACCTGTACTCCATCTGCTGCTTTAGAGTAGGTCCGTCCAGCAAACTGGCAGTCATCTGAGAGGATGGGGAGCAGCGCAGGAGCAGGGGGCAGCAATTCCAAATTCCCCTGACTCATGTTCGCTTCAGGAAACATCTTCCCATCTTTCACAGTTTCCCTCAGGTTAATTACAGAGTCTCTTATGTTGCCGATGATCTCATTGTTCTCCGCAAGCAGTCTCTCTAAGTGGTCTATTTTGTCCTGCAGAATACCAATCTGTCCCTGTAGAACACAGAAAAAACCCTGAGTAACACTTTTAACACTGACCTGGGTAGGATTATGTAGAACTTCAGCACAAAATCCAGACAATGACTTAACAGTTACTACACAACACAAACACAAATTACTCAAACAGGGTTTCTACAGGTTTCCCCAAGTCAAACTTAAGACTTTTTAGGACCTTTTCAGACTTATATAGGGCTAGATGTACTGTAATTAGTCACTTTTTAGCCATTTATTTTAAGTTATGTGTTAAAACAAGCAGGCCTTAGTTGTATACATACTGTACGTTTTTGTTCAACATAACTTAAAAAACTAAATGAATACTAAATTAAAAAGCAAATGTTTGCACAACAGACTAAAGTTATAATATTAGTTATGAGTAGCTATAAAACTTTTGAGATGTGTTGTTTGTGATTGGATGTGTCTTGGATCCACTCGGTAGCCTTACATAAACAACGGAAAATTAAGACCCCTTTAAAAAGATTTAAGACCTACAAGACAATATTTCAGTGAGTTTAAGACTTTAAGCCCTAGAATTGTCTTTTTTTTTATTTAAGACATTTTAAGACCCCACAGATACCCTGTTAAGAGCACATTGCAGACTGTTTATGAAGCTTTCAGAGTTTAAAAATAATCATTTGTATTTGTACACAATACAAGAAGTCAAGTTATTTTTTGTTGTTCTTGCAAACTTGCATAGGCGACAAGACTTTTGTTGGGTTGTGTATTTCATACTTTATTTAGTGGATCACAAACCAACTGACAAGTACACTTCAAGGCTAATCTTACAACGTCCACCTTCTCAAAATGATTGAAAACAATAAAATAAAAAATACTATAGTGTTTACTGAACATTATTATATAATTAAATGTATAGAGTACATATACTATAAATGTATATACTACAGTATTTACCACCCCCATGTAATGGTACAGCAAACTGTAGTATTACCTATCATGAACTGATAAACGGTAATAAATACTGCAGAATACAGCAGTTTTTACTACAGTAAGCTGTGGTGTATACTTTAGTATTTATCCAATAACTTGTATAGAAAATACAGTATTGGGTAATTTGTTTACATTACTATAGTGCTACAGCTACTGCCACAACAGATTCATTCAATTACCTTTCTGTAGTATGTTTAAAAAACATTAGGGGTATTTACTATGAATGACTAACTTTGTTTAATGTTTGCACTTCGAAGAAATTTGGAAGAAAAAAAACAACTATCGACGCTAAGGACAGCAAGGAAATGACCTTTGAGATCAGTTCACCGTCCAAAACTAAACTAATCTCTCTTTTAAGTCGACTTCAAGAGTTTCGTGATGTATATCAATGAATTACAAATAAAAGTCACATGATCAAAGTAGTAGTGATGCGGAAAATACGGTTACCGATCACAGCCATTTTAATTCTGTGCATGTGTATTATTTTAATACATTAATGTCACTTGGAAAGAAACCATCAAACGAGTAGTTCAAACAACTGAAAAGTGTATTTTCCTCAGCGCATTCAGCAGTCTGAACACACACACAAAAATCATACATTATGTTTACAATTTATGGATAACGTCAATCATAAGACAGCGGTCGGTAACGTTACTTACGTTCTGAATCCTCTCTCCGTTCGGATTTTTGCTGTGATCAATATGATCCAACATCAGGTACAAGGAAAATACCACCACACAGAATATGGCACTGCCAAAAACTGTAAACTGTCTGCTGAGCTTCATTTCTCAGACGAGTCCAGCACATTCACACCAAAGGCAAACTTTTAAAGGCTTGTGTCGAGCGGTGGTCCCGTAGGTGACAGAAGGCAGAAGTGAAAAAGAAAGCTCTTCTCGCCAGGAAGAGGAGTTGCGCGGATTGGGACACCTTCCCTTCTCTGTCTCGCGGTGGAAGAAATGTCGCGGTGTGAGTCCACGGACTGAATCCAATGCGATATGTCTTCAAAGTTTTGACGATGCGGAAGAGTTTGTGTGATTCAGCAAATTGTGACGGTCTACAGGCAAAGGAAAAGCGTCAACCCTGCCCCCTTCCTGCACTCACTACTGTGCCTCCGACAGAGTAAAAGTGAGCGTGGAGTTGCGCCGCCTAACGAGTGAACACATCACTCACACAACACACACACGCAAACTCAGGTGAGCACATACACTCAACAAATTTACGTCTGCTGTTTGTTCAAACTACTTAAAATGAGCTGAAACAACACAACTCTTTTTCGTATTAGGTTTCCACTTAAATGTCTAAATACTAATAGGTTAACTGAATTTCTTCATGTTGTCCCAACACATATCAAAATTGTTTTAGGTGTACATTTCAGTCAAAATTCTACCCTGGTTTTGCTGCTTTCATCATAAGAGACAGAAAGAGAAGTGGTCGGCTTAAATTATTACACCCCCACAAGAAAATGCATATTTTTATCAATGTTTTGTAAATATAGCTAAAAAATTATGCATTTAAATAAAACTGTTTTATTAAACATTTATATACATTCAAATCAGAGTTTGTTTACCTGGCATCTTTAGGAATAGAAACATAACACATTTAAAATCAAATGAGCTATCACAACAGCAAAAAAAAAAAAACTACAAAACTATAACTGAATTTAGAAATTGTTTGTTTTTCTTGATTCATTCCTGTTTTTAATTTGTCTTGTTTTATTTTAATTTTATATTTTTTTCCGGCAACGCAGTGGCGCAGTAGGTAGTGCTGTCACCTCACAGCAAGAAGGTTGCTGGTTCGAGCCTCGGCTGGGTCAGTTGTGTGTACTTTGCATGTTCTCCCTGCGTTCGCGTTGGTTTCCTCCTGGTGCTCTGTTTTTTCCTCACAGTCCAAAGACATGTGGTACAGGTCAATTAGGTAGGCAAAATTGTTCGTAGTGTATGAGTGTGTATGGATGTTTCCCAGAGATGGGTTGGAAGCTGGAAAGGCATCCGCTGCGTAAAACGTGCTGAATAAGTGGGCGGTTCATTTTGCTGTGGTGACTTCGGATTAATAAAGGGACTAAGCCGAAAATGATTGAATGATGTTTTTTCCTCTACATATTAATTTGGGTGTTTTTGTCCTGTTTTTCTTTTTTGCTTTGTTTTTTTCCCGCTACATCAGTTTGGGTGTACTAATTTTGCAGAGTTATCTTTAAGTTTTTTTTTGTTAGATTAGTTCCAGTTTTGTCTTTGGTACTGACTAATTAGTTTAGATTATTCACAAAATGCAGTTTAGGTCTAAAAATACAAAATCAGTAAATGCAAGATATAGGTATAAGTTATAAGTGCACTTACAGAAAACTATGACAAATATTTAAAGATGGATGCACTATCAACATAATATACAGGTTGTATTAAGTAATCAGAGATTTACAAATAAATGAACAATGTACAGGTTACTATTAATAATCAGGAATGTGCAAATAAATACAAACATAATATACAGGTTGTTATTTAGTATAATCAGGAATTTCAAATAGATATGTAAATATCATAAATTTACAAATGTATATATGCACCGGATATTTACATTTACAAACGGATATATTTGTAACGATATTAATGTATTATTGTAAGGCATCCTATAGAAATATGGCGTTTATGTAAACCAGGGCCAGAAGAATCTGCTGACCTCTTTGTGCTATTTATGCACAGAATTTGTAAAAATATGCTAATTTATGGCGAAGGGTTTCAAGAGTGTAAGAGCTGACAACCTACACACAAAATAAAAAAACTTTTTTTGAAGACATAAAAACCAACTTACAATTAGAACCATTTGTTTCATAAACAAAGCTACAGCAGGTTTCTCATATAATACATCCATTAATAGACAGAAAATATTACTCACATTTTTTGTAAATTATTGAAATACTTGCATATTATTCTGTAATCACACTGAAATTAATATAAAAATTAATAACTATATATTTACATGAGTAAATAAATAAATTGAATGATAGGCTTAAAAATTAAGGAAAATATGTGGATTTCTGCAGGTGCAGATTTTGTGTGGGTGTAATGATGCCAAACATTCATTAATTTTCCTTTGGCTTAGTGCCTTATTTATTAGGGGTCACCATAGCAGAATGAACTGCTAACTCTGGCATATGTTTTATGCAGCAGATGCTCTTCCAGCCACAACACAGTACTGGGAAACACCCATACACTCTCACATTCACACACACACTTAAAAACAATGGCCAATTTAGTTTATCCAATTCACTTTTAGCACATCTTTGGACTGGGGGAAACTGGAGCACTCAGAGGAAACCACGTAAACACAGGAAGAACATTCAAACTCCACAAAGAAACAACAACTGGCCCAGCTGTGACTCTAACCAATAACCTTATTGTTGTGAGGCAACAGTGCTAACCACTGAGCCACCATGCAGCCCATAAATAAACATTTACTTATTAACTGGTATTGTTTCATATTTCAATATATTTGCAATTAATTTTGAATTATACAATTATGGTGGCCAAAAGAACTCAATCGCACTGCAAGTCAAGAAAATACATGCAAATAGAAAAGAACAAAAAGATTGAGAGAACATCTTCAAGTCCAAATTCTCACAACACAAGATAAAACAGAAACGTGCTTGCAAGATTTTTCTATATGCAAAACACATTCATATATAAAAACACTTACAAATTTAAAAATAAAAAACCTTCTTCAATTTGACACACAAGTATAGAAACATTTTTCAAATTGCACAGACCACAATGGAAATGTGTTGGAGACCCCAAAACAGTCAAACACAGCTGCTTCCTGTTTACATATTTAACACCTAAGAGTAGTCTACCATACTTGTTACAGTTGTTCTGAGACTAACTCTTGCTAGCATGGGATAAAAAAAAAACTTTTCATTTCACAATAATTGTGCCATTTCTTTCAGTTAGTAATTTTCTATTTGCAGTTTTTTTCCTAACTTGTCGCACATGGGCTCTCTCTAGGTAGGTTTGACAACATAAACGAGAACTAACAATGAAAAAAAGTCTCATAAAGGATGTATTAAGTTCAATTTAAATTTAAACATTTAAAATCTATAGGCCAACGTTGTTAAAACTCAAAGTTGTATCTGATAAATTTAATAAACCTAAACTAGAATGAATAAGCAGTTGTACTTTTATTAACACTAACATTAATAAAGGTTAATTAAAACTGTGACAAATGTATTGTTAATAATTAGTCAATGCATTAATATTTTCATGTAAAAACGAATGAAAAACTATAACTAATGTACAACAAATAAGAAAAAGTTAGAACAGTGTGGAAAACACTAATAAAAAATCTATACCATAACAGACCTTGGCTTTTGGACTTCATGCTGGTAACAATCTAGATGATCCTTTTCTTCTTTGATCAGGAGCGCACATCATCAATTTCTCCCAAAAAAACACCTGAAATACTAATTCATCTGGATGCCTCCGAGCCCAGAGAAGTAAATGGCACTTCTGGACACTGTTAACATAGGGCTTCTATTAGGCACAGTTCAGTTTTAACTGGCAATTGTGAATGCAACCACATATTGTGATATTTGAGGCATCAGGGATCAAGGTTGTTTAGCTTAGGTTTGCACCCTTTACAAACTGAAACTTCTCCAGATTCCCTGAATCTTTTAATTATGTTATGCACTGTTGAAGGTGAAATATCCAAATGTATTCCCATCTTTCTTTAAGGAGCATTGTTTTTAAAGGACCACCAAATCCCCATATCAGAAGGGTGTTTTCACACCTCTAGTTTGAAAAAAGTCAGGAAAGTGGGTGCGTCTAGCTCTCTTTAGGTAGGTGTGTCAGGGGAGGGAAAGAGGAAAAGTTTTGAACAAAAAATGAGAGTTTCCGTTTGGGCATGCACGGATTTTAACAGAGGAAAAACAAACGGAAGTAAACAGTGACTGCGTTTACATGGACATCAGTAATTGGATTATACCACACAGCGAATGGGGAAAAAAACTCTGCATCACGTAGTAGGTAGCACTGGAAAGCTGTGTGTGTATAGACTATCCTGTCACAAAATGCGGTGAAAATTCTACACAACAGTAATAATTAAACGCGTAGGCGTTTATATGTTTACATTCGGAGAGCAGCATTTACAGTGGATCTTTCAGTCCATAATATTGTAGTGATATTAACATACTGTACACTTAGTAACTACATAATTTTGACTAAGGTATGTCTTTAAAAACTGAAAGAGGACTGCTGACAAAACTAACTAACTTTGCCATCTGAATAAACAAAGACCACTGATTGCTTACTTACCAAATCTGTAGAGACAGGACAATCAACACCCACTGGATCCGCATCTTTTTAAAAAGAAGACGAGCAGCAAATGCAGATTTCACCATTTCCAGATGTGAAAAGCTCTCGGGTAAAAAAATGTTCCTTACAAACATATTTCTGTCACGTGCACTGTAGTCCACACGTGAGCCCAGCTGCTCTCTCATAGCAGGGAAATGAAAACAAAACCTTCGTTGCAGCACATTTAAAAACGACCCCGTCTTCAAACAATTATTCTTCTTCCACTTGTTTTGGCAACAAAACATGTCATCTCTCTGCCGTCTGAACACTGTAACAAGTCTTCGAAGCTATCATGCATATTAATGAAGTCGCACCACATTCACAATAGAGTGCGCTGATTAATTTGAAGTCTTTCTCTTGAATTAATGCTGCACACTCAGAGACTACACAATGTACTCGCCGGTACAGACATGCAGTCTCCACGCTGGAATACACACAAGGATCGCAGCGCAGTGACGCAGCTCCAAAAATTCGATTCAAACCAGAAGAACAAATTTGCTCTAAATAATGTAAAATAACCAATTGTGTCCTAATAGTGTTTTTAGCAGCATGGGACACATAAATGACTGTCAACATCTCAAAATATGTGTTTTGGTGTTTTGTGACCCTTCAAACATTTTAATAATTCTCTCACGTATTTGTTAACAAAACTGGGAATCCTTGGCCCGTGTTTGCTCCTATAGACCTTTCTTGGATGCTGCTATTGTAGCAAATCATAATTACAATGACCTGACATCACCTGTTTCAAATCACATCATTATTTAACCAATTAACCTGATTACTAGCCCATAACTGCTCCTATCCCAACTTTTTTGGGAAATGTGTTGCA